AGTCACATTTTTTGGGTGGCGGTGGGGTGCAGAACAATGGGCACAACGGCCATGTCAAAATCAGCAGTGATGACAGCAATGACAGTGATACTGTTACTCAGCTGGAGTTGTTTTAAATTCCTAAAGAAGCATCATAATATGTTTCCTTTAAAGTTTGGTCAGCATCGTATGATTTTCAAAAGGCCAAAAGCCAAAAAAAAAGTAATAAAAAAAAAACTTGTGGCATGAATCTCCAAATCTCGCTCTCCTTAACTTGCCTTTCTTGCTGTGCTCACCTGCAGGCTGCTGAAGGTGAAGCCAGAGGAGAGGCTGACCATCGAGGGAGTCTTATCTCACCCGTGGCTCAATTGCACCGAAGCGCTGGACAATGTGTTACCCTCCGCCCAGATGATGATGGACAAGGTGGGCGGCAGAGAGTGGCCAAGAGCGCAGTCGCAGTTGTTTGAAATCATGATACATTTAGTGCTACTCAGGAGGATAACTATGACTCTGTATCTCAGGCGGTGGTGGCGGGCATCCAGCAGGCCCATGCGGAGCAGTTGGCCAACATGAGAATTCAGGATCTGAACATCAGCCTGAAGCCGCTCAACTCTGTCAACAACCCAATCCTCAGGAAGAGGAAACTACTCGGGTTTGTTTGCTTATGTTTATTTCAATTGAATGACCTTTTAGGCATATTTGTGGCATAATTGAACAATACGTGCCCTTATTGTCTCTGTGCCAGCCCAAAGCCCAGTGACGGTTTCTTCATTCATGACCCAGAGAACGGAGGCGAGGACTCCAATGTAGCGCTGGAGAAACTACGCGATGTCATCGCACAGTGTATTCTTCCACAGGCTGGTCAGTAACCAAAAAACACATCCAGCAACAAATCCGGGGGAAATGTCAAATCATTGAATGTCAATTGTTGTGTATGTGTGTGTGTGTTAAGGAGAGAACGAAGACGAGAAGCTGAACGTGGTGATGTTTGAAGCCTGGAGGTTCAACAGGGATTGTAAACTGCTGCGAGATGGCCTGCAGGGACTCAGCTGGAACGGTTAGTGTTCACTTCCTGTATACACCCAACAAAAAAAAAAAAAAAAAATCTGCCGATTTTTCTTTCTGTTGTAAAATTAACCAAATAATGAAGGACCCGAGCCTAGCCTCAAGTCTTTTTGAATATGATGCCACAAGCTTGGCACATCTGTCTCTGCGCACTTTCACCCATTTGTCTTTGCAGCACTTCTCAAGCTCCGTCAGGTAGCACGCAAGTCTTATTTGTTGTTTTGTGACGCAGGTCGCGCATTCTGTGATAAGGTGGATCGCTTGAAGTTGGCCGAAATTGTGAAACAGGCCATCGAAGAGAGGACAAATCTGGAAGAGTCTCACTAGCGAACGTCCTTCTATCTCTATATGTTTTTATATTCTCTTTTTAACAAGGCTTTTTAAAAAAAAAGGAGAAAAAAAAAGTCAAATGATCTGGTTTTGTTTTTCACCCCATTGTTTCACTTGCAAGGCCTTTTGTGCAGCTGTAAAAAAAAAAAAAAAAGACTCATTGGTACTTGCAAGAAAAAAAGACTATATTTTCATTTTTGCAAAAAAAAAAAGGAAATCAAATCAATTTGAGAAATTATTTTCTTGGTGGGTAATTTTTATTCGCAGCTTGAATCATTTGTTTTATCCCAATGATTTTATTTCTTTTAACTTTCCAAACATTATTTATTTAAAGAAAAAGTTCCATTATTTATATAATTTTTTGGAGGTAGCCTATGAGCAGGCTTTAAAGAGACGAAATCTGATTTTTATGTATGCTATCCTCTTGAGCTCTAAACTTGTTTTCCCCATCTAACTTGTCCTTTTGGTTCAAGAAAATGTGTTTATGTAAGCGTGAGTCCCTATTTTAAAGCTGCAAATCCAAACAGACATGAAACATGAAGGCTCTTCCGCCTCGCATCAAATCCGCTTTTGACAAAATCTCACCGACTTGAGCTTCTGACAGCATCTTGATCTTCCTCCTCCGCTTCCCTTCAATGTGTCACACTACACCTCGTCTCCTCCGAAGATTTATGTTGGTAGCCTTAAACATTGTTTCTTTTTCTTTTTTTTTAAATGGGATTTGTTTCTGTTTTGAGTTGCACATCATGTTGCTTGACTGTCTAAAAAGAAACAAATGGAATTTTCTTTGGGAGTGGACATCTGTCTTCATACACCTTCTTTTCTCATATAGAGGTCTCTTTTAGAAACTATGCACCGATTGGTCGCCAGCTCTATCATCCAAAGTCCTAAAACAGAGCCTCCCTTCTCAGCTCAGAGACGCTATCCTTCACAGTTTGCTGCCCATTGGAACTTTATTGTTAACCAAATCAGCAGCACTTAATCTCTCATCTAATCTATCTGGAATATTGTTTAATAATACCCCAAAAATGGCTTCTCTAAAAATGAAGGTGTAATTCCTCCTGCTCTCCAATAACCACCTCACCTCATTTTCAGGAAGTAAATAAATAAAAGCCCGTCCACTATTTTGTAGAAATATTGGATGGTATGACCGCATTTTAATGGCCACATTCATATATTGCCATGTGCTAAAATCCTTACATTGTAGTCAGATTCATATGTGGTCATATCCCTGAAGTTATGCTGCCCCTAAATGGTCGTGTCCTAATATCCAGACTATGGAGTATGACATCATTTCTAATTGGTCATGTCCATATGTAGTCCATGACTACATTATTATGGACATTGTCTATCATATCAGCACGTCAGAAACTGATGATTACATCAGCAGAGAGCCAGTGTAGCGTTTCCATGATGTCGGGCTGAGCCAGAATCCTGCACACTGTCTTATACACAGCTTTGTTTTTGTCTCCTGCTCCTTGACTTTGTTACAGGATGCAAAAAATCTTTATATGGGACAATTCCTCTGCACCCTTTTCCGTTATATTTTCTTTTTCCCAATCATTTGTTGGTGTAAAAGCAAGTCAAAATGTTTTTGGATATAATCAGAAATTGAAGGATGAAGTGTTTACCACACAGTACTTTTAGTCAAAACGGCAATGATTTGTACTGTTTACATCAAGCGTGACTGAAACTTTACTGTTGTAAAACGCTTGTTTGCATTTGGATTTTTAGTCCCTTGTTCCGGTCTGCTTGGTCATTTTCATATTGAGAGCAATCTGTTTGGGGGAGTTTTGACAAATGGGACTCCCTTTAGAGCTCTGTAACAACCATGATGGGATGGTTTTTAAGGCCTTATTGCACAAGCAAACGTGCCTTGGTGACTTTGAGTACAAAATTGTTCATGTTGTTTACCCCAAAATGAAATCATTCCATAAAAGGCATTTTTTTTAATGACTTCAAATACTGTACAATGATTTTGGGGGGGGATCATAACTGAAACCCATTACAAAATGAGCCTTTTAAGTTGATCATCTGATTCAGTATTTTCACCAAAAGTGGTTATCAATGTAAAAAAAAGTTTTCTTTGTCAGCTGATGTAGCATGAGTTCATGAAAATAAACATCTTTCTTCCTTCTCTGGAATGTCTTCAATTTGCTGACTTTGAAATAAAAGGACTTTAAAATTTTTTGTCTTAAGTCATTAATGCATGAATGCTCCAAATAGGGTCAACTTGAATACGAATCATGATACGAGGAACGTCCTATCTGGCCGCAACACTCTGGTCGCTATGGTAACGTTTAAAACTGCCTTCAAAATAAGATACAAAGTGCATGAAAAATACGACTCACCATCACATCATATTATGCAGAATGGGTTTGGTGCGTAGGAATCTCCCATTGAGACCCGTATTTTAAGTAGGACTCCTGATACTGTCTTATTAAATGTAGCCTTCTTTTTCTCGGAAGTCGTAGGCTCCTCTACTGTCTCCTTGCTGGGCCTTTTCCCCTTCCCAAAAAAAAACTTTCCAAAGAAGTTTGGTTTTTTTTTTTTATTCATTTTGCTAGCTCCCGGGTTTCATTTTAGCGGGAACCTATCACGTGATCGAGAAGCGCGCCTTAATCTGCGTCAAGTGACATACTGTAGACTGATGTAACAGAGAATCCGGTAATTTTTCAAAATAAAATATCTTTGATTCCGAAATAAATGAAACGGATGTCAAAGAAAATATATTGTGTATAATTACGTTTTGTGATATTTGAAGGCGAATTGTCGTCTGACTACTTGGCAGGAAAAACGAATGCGTTAGATTTGTCATGACTGGAAGATGTGCACATTTTGAAGTAATGTGTTACGTGATTGCGCTTTCCAGACAAACCTGTTCAGCACTAAAGTTAAAAATGTTCTCTCATAACTTTTTGTAATTTCATCCTTTTTTTTCTTTCGTGTTTGCATTTAAAGCAACACTGCTTGATGAAATAAAAACACATACAAATGATGCAATTCGAACAGCGCCGCCGTGCATGTGCTCAACAAAGGGCAACGTTTTAAGTTAAAACGCTTTTAATTGCAGATAGAAGAAGCAGGTAGAAATAAAGTTTGTGTTTCGTAAAGAAAAGATAAATTCACAGCCACCAAGACACTATTCCACATACAAAAGGCACTTAGGTTTTCTTCCTCGAACATTTGTCTTAAAGCAGCAACACTTGGAACGCGTTGGAATCCAAGAGTATTTTAAATCTGTGTATCATTCATTCTCTTACGTTTTAAGTTGGCAATCGAAATACAAAAAAAGTGCCCAATTATTTTGTCGTTTGTTTAACAATAATGACTCATTTGTGTTTTGGGTTTCAGAGTGCCATTTGAAAGTGAAAAGACCAACTGATATGCTAATTATTTTCGATCATATTTAGAAATATGCGGAATGACACTTCTTAATTTGACTAAGGAGCACATACAAAAAAAAAAAAAAAAATCTGTGCTCATACACACAAATCAAAGTCAACAAACACCATCAGCAGTTGTATGGAATTAATGCGTTTCGACATTTTTTTTTTGGTCCCTTTTGCGCAACAACACTCCGGACAATTAACTGTCTTCAGGTTTCAATTTGCACTGCTGTGATGCTGAGGGCTTGATTCAGAATAGAGTTAACAGTAACAACCATGCTGACGAGGGGGGAAGACAACAAGGTCCGTTTTTTGTTTTGAAGTCGCTGATGAAACCTCTCTGCTGGCGCCCCATCATCAGTCCGAGTCCTCCTCATCCAAATACTCCTCAGCGTTGCTGTGCGAGCGGGTGATAGCTGAGGGGAAACAGGAACAAATTGTGTGTGTGTGTGGGGGGTTTCTTGATCTTCATCTTTCTTGAGGCACCATGCAGATTCTGTACTCACTGCTGGCCAGCTTCCTTTTGAGCAGCGAAGCACACTGTGCATTGGTGGCCATCTCCAGAGCCAGCTTGTTCTCGTTGTTCCGGATGTCCGTCCGTGCATCTAAATGCAAAAACGACAAGAAAGCACGCCCTATTGTCTTTGTAGTGGAATAAATTACATTTAGGTTGAAAATGATTTGCAACTCTTTACATTCTTTTTTTTTTTTTTTTTTTTTTAAACGTTTAATCAAACGTCCCAACTTCAGTGGAATTGGAGTTGTGGAAATACTCTTCTCACCCTTGTTCAGTAACATGGCCACAATGTCAGAATAACCCTTCCAGGCAGCAGCGTGGAGAGCAGTGTCCCCAAGCTTATTCTACAAGGCAAAATTTGCATTTAAATGTACTTTATTTTTCATTTGATATTGCCTATCCGAATAGTCCTAAATTCGTCCTAACCTGCTGGTTGAGTTCCACGCTGGACTGGTTGAGCAGAAGCTCCACGACATCTAAGGGGAACAACATGAGAATCAAACAACTCGCAATGACGACTGAGGGAAATTATTAATACATCAAGAGTCAGACAGGAAATAAGACACAAATAACTTTGATCGACTCAGTTCCTGTATAATAATAATAATAATAATAATAATAATAATAATAATAATAGGCATTTGGACAACTCTGCAACAGTGAAAGCAACATGGTTGGAAAACACGGTGCTAAAAAGGCCAGTGGTCAAGGTGCATATGTTAACCAATGATGTCGGAAGTGGATGCAGACTAGCTGGTCCCAATATTAAAGACCCCCAAATTCCCGTATTTTCCGGACTTTAAGGCCTACCTAAAAGCATTCAATTTTCCTGAAAGCTGAAAGTGCACCCTATAATCCGATGAGCCTTATGTATGGTGTTACACGGTCTCTTTATATTCCCCAATTAATTGGTTTACCTCTTCATGTTCCTATGTCATCTCATGGTGATTATTAGCAGGTAATTGGAACCTAAATGGGTTCTGCCCGACACTAATTGACTTGTGCATTCGCCGACGCACACTCAAACAACTACTTTGTGAGCTCTGCGCAGCCACTATGAAACAAAGATAATCCCTAAAGCATACTTAGCTTCTGACGAATCGAAGGAAGAAGGAGACAAGCGAGACTTGCAAGGCATTCCAATTCGAGGTACAGTGAACCCCCAGTTATTGTGAGGGATATGTTCCAGACCCGCCAGCGGTCGGTGAATATCCGCAACTGTGAATACTTTTTTTTTTCCAATGTCTTGTTTTACCGATCCCACACACTTTAAACATATTAAAACACACATAACCTGGAGCATGTTCAAAAATAACAAAATTAATGTATCTTTTATCGTGTCTGTGCATTATGGGTGTGCCTTTAAGAGGCGGGGCCCGGTGGGGTGGCGTGTGACATCGCCGAGTCCGCACGTGAACATCCGGGCATTTTGTGTGAGAGTGCTCGTTGTCTGTGTGTTTTATTTCTCCTCCTGGAGTTCAACAAATTGCTGAAAAGTGCAAAGTGTGTCAACGCTGGGTCCCAATCACTGTACCTTTATGTCCTCCGTGACATCCCCAGTAGAGGGCAGTGTTGCCAGCCTTGTCCAAGCCGTTGATTCCCACCCTGTTCTCCACACATTCCCTCAGCCAGCAAAGATTCCCTGAATCAATCAATACATGCACTTGGAACAGTTACACTTAACAGAATGGTGGGAATAAATGAGGCAGCCGTGCGGGCAGCGCACCTCGTTTGGCCGCTTCATGCATCGGGTGGTCGATAGATTCGGCCTGCTCCGTCACTAAAAATGGACGACAAGTGTTTTGACTTGGGAGTCACAGATGGAAAGACTTTGATCGTCTTCTTCCACTTACCGTAGTTGCGTGGAATAAGGCCCGTCCTCCCTCGGCATGTTCCTTTCCACCAGTTGCTGTCACTCTGAGGATGATAGCAAGATGTTGAGGGGGGAAAAAAAAAAAACAGCCTGCCGTACTGACAAGACGGGTATCATCCGCACTGGGCTGGTTTTAGGCAGCGGTGGATCTATTCTTTTGGGAAGCAGACCCAAATCTTAAAAATTCATATCTATGAAATTCACGACATGCATAGAAACACTGTAAAATTGCATGATAGGTCTGCGCATGTCTACAAAATTCTTTGCATTTGCCCCTCAGAGGAGAGCGTTTGGATCCACATTCCAAACTGCACGGTCAGATTCTGCAAGGTCTGTCTTACCGTGTCAGAGATGTAGAGGATGTCTCCTTCTTCAAAGTAAAGCTCATCGGGCTGCAACGTACAACAAGACCGCGGTTCAACGAGCGACTTGTTTGTTGAAGCTTGAATGCATTTCCTCACCTTTCAAGAACTTCAACACGGTGAACAACATGCCAGACTTGTTTTGATCTCCAAACTAATTTCCCTGTCGGAAATAATCTCTTACTATAACCGCAACTATCGTACAAACTTTAGAAACCGTGCATGACATCGGTTCATCTTTTGGAGTAAGCCACCCCCCTAAAAAAAACCCACAAAGTGTGAATAAAAAGAAATACCTCTCTAATTTGGCTGTTTCTTAATGAAGCGGTGTCACCGTGAGTGAAAATAGAATTATTTATAATCAGCAACTAGCATTTGTATCAGTAGTTACCACTTGGGCAGGAAAACCAGTTACTCTAAATAAAATAAATACATCAATAAAACGATATATCTTCTATCTTTCACCACACAGATATCATGCGCATAATATCACTTTGTATCCTTTGCTCAGAAACAAACTGACTTACCGTTCTGGGGTCAAAGGTGAACTCAGCTCTGAACACCTTGACTTGGCCTGCGAGCAAAACAACAAAAAGACATCAGACAGCAAACAGCAGGAGGAAATCCCCTTGATTTAGACTTGTCCATGCTTTTATCTCCAGTAGACTTGATTATTGTATCGAATTCCTAAAAAAAAAAAATTTTTTTTTAAACATCCAATAGCTGCAGCTCATTCAGAATGCTGCAGGTCGGGTTCTGACCAAAACAAAGACATCACATCATATGACTCCAATCCTAAAGGCTGTACACAGGCTCCCAATCAGCCGTAGAATCGATTTAAAATTTTTGCTACTGGTCTATAAATCACTGAATGGTTTGGGTCCAAAATATATTAAGGCAATGCTAATTAAATATCGACCCAGTAAAGCTCTGAGATCTGCAAACGGAAGTCAATTAGTTGGAGGCGAGCGTTCCAAACAAACATGGTGAAGCAGCGTTTAGCCGTTATGCTACATGCAAATGGAATAAACTGCCACCAGGAGTGAAGTGAGCCTCGATTGTGAATGCTTTTAAATTCATCTTAAACAATTTTTGAAAGCGACTCATTTTTTTCTCCTTTTCTTTTGAATGTTGTAAACTGTCGGGTTTGTAAATACGTGTGGGTCTCGTGTCTTCGCTAGTCTGAGTTGCCTTGTGTATGAAATGCGCTATATAAATAAAGCTGCCTCGCCTGGATGGCCTCCGCAACAAGAGGCGCACACTCGTTCGGATTGCGTCTGTAATGGCTCATTTGGATAATTACGGACTCGTTGCAATGTGGCAGCACGAGTTAGAAGACGAAAAGTGCACTCAAGGTGCACTCAACACAGAAACAGACATACCTGTGCACGGAGAAACAAAGACATGCGAGATATGTACACAGACACAGGGAGACACTCATCGACTCTTTTACTTACATTGTTTTCATAATCAAGTCATCGTTTGGAGCCATTGTTGAAATTAAAATCATCCAAATGCTTTGATTTCGGCCTCTCGACTAGAATCATTCAAATTCCTGAAGTCTGACGTGTGTCAGCAAAATAAGACGTTTACAAACATCAGCTTTGGAAAACAATGACGGAACCCCAAAAGGGTTGGCGGGTACATCCATCGTGATGAATGTCGACCATGATATTGCTTTTTTTTTTTCCCCATTAATCGGTGCAGTAATCTTAAAAAGAAGAAATTCTAAATATATTTTATCGTGACAGCCCTCGTTTAAATCTAGCTTTTGCCTAATCTATTTTATTTTGGGCAGTTCATGTATTGCACGTAAATTCATAGGATGGCACACTATCTCCTAATTAGAAGTCACTCCAAATATGCGCTGCAAGCGAGAGGTGCGGGGCTGGGGAAGCAGGCTCGCATTCCGAGTTGTGAAGAGAAACACAACTGATCACCATTGCACTTTCTTTACACTTAAAACAAACATGTGAGGGCAGCAATAATGCCGCTGCAGGAACGACTGATTTATCGCATGACGGATCGTCACCTTTCAGTGACGTCTCCACGAAATGACGACACCGACGATCGAATGTCTCACTTCTCCGGGTATACACACACACGAGCCCCGCAACTGGAATGCAGCCATGTTGTAGCCTTTAGACGACACTGGTGTGTATTACACAAGAGCTCAGATGGCTTCATCTGTAACCAAGCGGAATCGTTTACATGCTGGTTTGTGTGTATGTTCAATCTGACAAGTGTGGCAGTGTTTTTAGGCTGGGTGAGTGGCTCACGCACAAGCCTCGGCTCTGTTCACGTCTTTTGCACACTCCGCAGGCCCGGTCATGTCGCTCTCTCACAACATACGCACCACAGGCCCCATCACGCCGCTTTAAACGCATGCTGTGTGCTCCCAAAATTGTTGGTGGTGCTTTCAGGGTGGGTTTAAGGCCAACATTCACATTCTCTTATACATAAGCACGGGAATATTTCATTAGGTACACCTGCACCGTAAGACGGTCTCAATTGGGGGTCTTGGGTTCACATGGTAGTTACGTTTGATATTGGGTCCTTGGAAAGACTGCATTCTCAAAGACAAGAATGCTCAGTTTTGCTTTCTAGAGGTATTCCTTTCGCGTTGTTTATTATTGTGGTTGCAGTGATGTGAAGGCGCACAGGATCATATTAAAACTGAAAAACAAACGCAATCAATTCCAGGACACTTCCAAGTGTGGTTCATTCTTCACAAGTGTCTTCCATTTATGATCCCGGCGCCCTCGCACGGGTCAGCCGAGGCTCTACCGCAGCTGGCCAACTAGGTGATCTGAGAGTACAAAAACAAGCCAGTTGTGGAAGAACATAGCAGTGAGCCTTGTTTGTGCAGTCCAGAGAATTTCAAATGTTGAGGTTTATTAACATGCCTGAGACTTTAATCGATTATCGTGTCCAAAATGTTGAATCGTGGCACCAGTTGCATGCTCAGAAATGTTGGGGGAAAAAAATCAGTTTTCCAAATATTTAAACAGCAGCACAAACCTAAGCATCCACAATTGTTGCTTTACAAAGGACAAGAAAAAAATCTGTTCCGTCAGATGACTTCTGTGACCATAAATTAACCACAAAATAAACAAAAGAAAAACGCACGTGATTGCTCTCCATGAATAGATTCTCTGTAACAAACAACAACAGCTACAGCCATGCATCATCCGAATACTGTACTTACAAATAACCACAAGACGAAAACAGGCAGTAATCATTCTTTTGGCACTTTTGCTTGCACGAGTGCAATCAAACCACACAGATACGTTCATGGTGACACATTGCAAGTCATCATCCGAAAGCAAAGCTCCGAAATACACACACATGCAATTTCACATCCAGATGACATCATGGAGGCATTTTCCATCAGCGCCCATCCAAATAAAAGATTTTCTGAACGACAAAGCCTATAATGTAACATGAGCGCTCTTCACTACACATGTTGCATATTTAGTAGTCCTAACATAACAGTTACACAATGTAGATCAGGCACTGATGATATTTATGATATTTATGAACTGTGTGTGCACTAACACACAGTTTTTAATTGATTCAAAACCAGACTCTCTCTGGTCAATTACTTTGTCTTTCAATTACTTTGTCTTTTCAATGAAACGCATAATCAACCAACAGCTTAGTTAATGTTTGACCAGCTATCTGTTTCCTAAACTAAACTTAGCAACAACTAAGGTAAATTAGCATATCTTATCTTTCTTTGTGGGTTTATTGATGATCAATGAAATTAGATGTTGGCGCTATTGTGTCTCTTCACTCTGAGGTGCATACACTGCATGTGAGCTTTCTCTTTTTTTCCTAATTAAATCCCCAAAATTATCCGCGAATAAAAAACAATATTCAGAGCTGTATGGTGGGTCTCCAGGTTTATGTGCGTTAATATTTTTTCGTTTAAAAAAAACGTACAGTATTCTTTAAAGTCAATAAACGCTTGAGTCCCACCATTGCGCATGCGCAAACAGAGAGGTAAAGGCTAAATAGACGTTTACGGTTGGCTTGAGCTTTTAACCTGTGACCTTAAACGCAACACACTCACCTACAGGACTCGGGCAAATAGGGAAGTCAGAGGCCAGGCGTCAGTCTTAAGACCTGCATCACCAATTTCGTCCGGTTTACGTCCTTCCTTTACTGCTCACAAGCTGACTTTACATCTTTATTTTGGGTAGAGACTCAAAACAACTCAGAGATGTACCATATTGTATTATTTTCTCGCCGACCCGCACGTCTCGATTCGCGCAAGCAAGGTGTCCGAAAGTAGTTTCGGCGAAATTTAACCAAGGGGTCCAACGTAATGTTTCTCTTACCTGGCTTGGCCGGCTTGGGAGGAGGCTTGGACATTGGCGAGGGTAAAAGTCAAATTGCAAACCAAACGCCGTGAAATGAAAAAGTTTGCTGAGCTAGACACTCAGCACTTCGGCGTCACTCCCTTTGAGGAAGTCGAGGCTGCCTCTGGCGACGCGGAAGTGCTCCTCTACGCATGCGCAAAAACCAGACTCCATCCTTATGAAAAATTACTTTATATATTTGTGTATTTTACATATGGTTATCACAAAAACAATGGACAAACCAGATGCATTGCTTGAAGGAAACAACTCCATTAAGATCTAATCCAATGACACCTAATACAGTAACAAGAACTGTGCCTAGAATTTGCCTTGACAAAAATAATAATGAAAATATACAAAGCTGTTTCTGTTATTTTCTTTGAGCTAAAGAAATCAGCTAAATAGGGTAAAAACACTTTACTGTGATGCAATGTGACACCTCTGAATATACTGTGTGTATTATATATACAGTCTATATACGGTACATGAGGCACGGTGGTGAGCATGTCCCCTTCACACAGCAGAGGCGCAGGGTTCGAATCCGGCTCCGGCTTTCCTGTGTGCCGTATGCATGTTCTCCCTGGGTACTCGGGTTTCCTCTAACATTCCAAAAACATGCATGGCAGATGAATGGAATACTGTACTAAAATTTGTCCCAAGGTGTGATTAAAATGGTTGTTGGTCTATGTGTGCCCTGCCATTGTCTGGCAACCATTTCACAGTGTACCCCGCCTCCTGCCCGAGGACAACAGAGATAGGCTCCAGCACGGCCCGCGAACCTTGTGTTGAGAAGCAGATCAGAAAAATGGATGGATTGATTATGAAAATATTTTTTTATTTTCATATTTCATTCTCATTTCTTTTTATTTTTATATTTTATTCATGTTATGTATGCTGTGACCCAAGTGGGGATTACCGTTTTGGAGAATGAATGAATGAATTTATTTTTTCAGTTAAAATCTTGTGACTTTTTTAACGCTTTTCCCTTGAATGACGTCACATTGAAGACAGCCATTCGCGAAGGCTGGTAAGCGGAAGTTTATGGATGAATGCAAATTTGTTATGAGAACATGGTTGTGCTACGCGCGTTACTGCTGACGTTCCCGCAGCGTGTCAGATCGTGCAAATTTTGAGCGATATGAGCTATTTATTTACCTGTTAGCGTAGCAGGCAATTGCTAACGTCCCCGAGCGACCTTCGCAAGTGGATATGAAGAAACTAATAGTGGGTGTGGGTGGGTAAGTCTGACATTTTCTTTTCATGAAGTTCATTTTCCCAAATATACTCCAAATGTGTGGACTAAGTAATGATGCCAACCTTTATAGCCAATCGATGTATAAAATAAAATATGAGAATGTTGTTGAGACTGCAGGCAGATGACAATGAAGAGTGAAATTAGCACAAATCGGAACAACGTCGCATGTGGCAAACATATGGTGGAATACAAAGCAACTAAACAATTGTGTTGTGAAACCTTTAAAGGAGACATGCATTTTTGTCCCACAATTTGAAACAGTTCCTAGGTGTCTTAATAATAGCCTGTCTCTCTGGTATATTTATGGTTTCTTCTAAAGGTAATTATGGTACACTTAACACATACTACTGCCGACTTGAGTCAAAAGTGTGTATTTCTGGTGTATGTAAAAAGGATGTCAGTTGTGATCACAGTAGTCCAGGTGTGTGGCTTTTTTTTTTAATTTTATTCTCATCACGTTTTGTGGTATTCTTTAAGAATGACCAATGGAGGAAAGTCCACTCTTTCCAGAAGTTTAAAAGAGAAGATACCCAACAGTGTTATCATTGCACAGGATTCATTTTTCAAGGTAAACTCGTTCAGGAGTGGGGAAACGAAATCTTATCAGTGACAATTTCATTTTCGACGAACTCCTGTGGGAAACATACCAAATTTGTAAAAAATAAATAAATAAATAAATAAAAAATAAATCAGGTTATCCAATTTGAGTCTCTATTTTTCATCCAGGATGATTCTGTGGTGCCAGTGGACGGTAATGGCTTCAAGCAGTTTGACAGTAAGGATATACGGCGCATTGGACATGTCACTAAGCACAAATAGTCAACTTAATGCACACTCAGCTGCAGCCCCATGAGATTTGAGACATACTTTCTTAGAAAATTCAAGTTCCACTTCAAAAGATTTCACTGTATTTGGAGCAGGCAGAGGTGAAAATGATAAAAACACTTTGAATGCATTTTGGTGTGTCCCCCGTCTAGCGCTGGATGCTCTCCACATGGACGCCATGATGAGCCAGGTTGACGCGTGGCGAAGAGACCCGCAAGCATTTTTGAAGGAAGCGGGTCAGACTGCGAAGAGGGTGACGTCATCAGCCAACCACGTGTTTGTGCTGATTGTGGAAGGCTTCCTGATATTCAATCACAGGTTAACACAATAATATGGCAATAATGACGACAGGACACACACATTATTTGGGATATTCATGTTTCTGGTGAAATTTCAGGATCATCTAATTGGAATTGAATTTGACCTTTTCTAAGTTTGTGAATGCATGTCCATTTGCCGTTGTAATGATTTTAGATTAAAAAGAAAAAAACTTTTGTTTTTAATTGTGTAAACTTAAAATGTAGTCACAGTCCTAATTTTTTTTAAGCATTCTGTATTTTTTATTTAATTTTGTTAAAGAAAATCATTGTTCAATTTTAATTTGGGTTATTTTGTTTGATTTCATTAGCCATGTTACCTTGACGATTGTGAATTTTGCCATTCAGCTGCTTGTTAGAGAACAGCAAGTTGTGCAGAAAATATTGAAACATGCAACAACTCAAATGAACAGTCGGACCTTTGTTTGCAGACCTTTGAATCAGCTGATGAACAAAAGATACTTCCTGGAAATACCGTATGACATCTGCAAGAAAAGACGAAGGTAAGTGCTTCTTCTCTCTTCGTTTCTTGCTTGACATGTTGAACAACATGTAAACACTTGGACGTTACTTGTTTCGAACAAACAGTTTGAGGGTTTACAAGCCACCTGACCCACCGGGCTACTTTGACGGACATGTATGGCCCATGTACTTGAGGAACCGCCAGGAGATGGAGAGCACGGCGACGGGAATCTGTGCGTCTCAGACATTTGAAAAGTTAAAAATAATTTCAATTTGTTAAACGTTGGCTTCATGTAATATTCCCTCTAAGCACAAAGTGTCTTCTAGGGCTGTTACGTAGGTGTTGATATTTCAAATAATGCAATTTGAGGAGGAATGTCCTGTATAATGAAAACGCATTTCAATTGTCTTGCAGTATTTTTGGATGGATTGAAGTCAAAGGAGGAGCTGCTAGCCGCTGTGTATCAAGACGTTAGTCAGGAAATAAACACGCCGAGAGGTAAGTTGGTTGTAAAGTACAGGATATGCATGGAGCTTTTAACATGCGCATATGCAATTAAACATGTTTGTTTGTGTGTTTACTTATTGACAGAGGAGGACTGAAATCCGGATGAACTGGAAGACCTCAGTCTCATGTTTACCAAAAAAAAAAAAAAAAAAGGACCAAACTAATTCATTCACAGTGTATGTGGTAACAATTTTACATATTTTCATGGTTAAAAAAAGCAGTCGATGACTTGAGTATGCATGCACAGAAAAAGTTGCACAGTAAGTATGACTACAGGAAATACATTTTCCATCCATCTATCCATTTTCTGATCTTCTTTATCTTCGCAAGGGTCGCGGGTGGTGCTGGAGCCTATCCCAGCTGTCTTCAGGCAGTAGGCAGGGTGCATCTTAAACTGGTTGCCAGCCAATCGTACAGCACACATAGAAAAACAACCATTGACGCTTATACTCAATCCGAGGGACAATTTAGAATGTTCCATTAACCCAGCTATGCAAGTTTTTGGAATGTGGGTGGAAACCAGAGTACCCAGAGAAAACCCATGCTTTGGGGGGGTGCAAACTCCACACAGAAAGGCCGGAGCTGGAATCGAACCCTGGACCTCTGCGCTGTGAGATCCGCGTGCTAACCAGTCATCCACGTGCCGCTTGAGATTGCTTATTAATATTATACAGGTATATTGTGAATAAATGATCAACAAACTATTCTGTTTTTGTCCCTTTCTTTGTCCACATATATTGAAAAAAAAAATTGTATTATTAAATCCATTGCAGGTGAGAGAAGCAAAAGATTACCATCAGTTGTCAATCGCTGCATTGCAAAAAATTAATGTTGGGCTGTGCATTTGGTACCCAGACATCCAGTGCAGTTACACCTGATTTTATCCACCTCTTCGTATCGCCACCGTCACGTTGCAATGATAGAAAACATCACTACTGTACTCTGCAAAACATTGAGAGAATCCCATGAGAAAAACAAAACATTTAGTTCAAATCCATCCTATTAACCAGAGATGTCGGTTGAAGCTCACTCGAGATGATTTTCCCCAATCAAACTTGGTTATAACATGTTTTTGTTCTGACCAGCCAATCAGACATGCTGGTTTATTCATTCAAGGCCCAACTTGCTGCAGGATGAATTAAAAAAAGATTCAGTACTCCTGATGGCTCTTGTAAGATTACACAAACATGGCTGCACATGGAGGCTAAAATCTTATTGAACAAAAAAAAAAAAGAATACATTGGAAGCAGTCTAGCCAGGAGAATTACACTGTACACCTCAGGGAACAAATACTAGAATTTAGGTTGTAAATGTCAGTGCTTTAGATAGTGTCCTACGATCATGTGCCCTCCTCTCTAAAAAGCCTACACTCATCAGTGTATTGAATGTGTGCACGTGATTGGTCACATGCACTCTCACTACACTTCCTCATTCATTACTATGCCAACATAAAGTCTCTCTTTAGACCACTTCCTAATCTGTTGAAAGGGCATTGAGCTATTTGAATCGAATCCGAGTTAAGGCTTCAAAATGCGATTGTGCTCTTTTCTCTGTGTCCTTTTGGTTTGTGGATGTTTTGGTTCTTGCCAGGACAAGCTGATTGCGAGCAAGCAGAGCATTTTAAATGACAGACCTGTTATTGGTAAGTACAGTACAATACAGTACAAGTGTTGACCCGATGAAAAACGGCAGAGGAAAAAAAAATGTTGAGAGGGCTTTTCAATTTAAAATTCAAAGATGCAAAATGTGAATTGTATTTTAAAAATTAAACACTGCTCTTTTTAAAGTCAAAAGCTATTTTTTTTAAAAACTTTGTTACAGCGGCAGCTGCTGTGAAAGCGCTATATAAATAAAGTTTTATTGTATAATTAATCCAATTCAAACAGAAAAGCTAAAAAACAAAAACTGATTGTAATTGGCAGAATCTATAATTCTGGGGAAAAGTTTCCAGTCCCAGCCTTTTTTTTTTAATGTGCTAATTCTTTTGTTTCTTCGCAGGTATTTTGACTCAGATTGTTTCAGATGAAGCCATGAAACAATACGGAAGCACATACATACCTGCCTCCTACGTCAAGTACATTGAGTCTGCGGGCAGCCGAGTGATGCCCATCAAGTCAGTTGGGAACATTTGAAGCTATAATCGACATCATAATCGAAACTTTTCATTCCATGTTTCTTTTCATCTTCACTCATGCAGACTGACGCTTAGCACTGCGGAGTATGAAAACATCTTTAGCAGGATAAATGGGTAAGCAAACACGTTGATGACATCACCAGTCACCGACCCATGCTCTGACTCGTGATTTACGTAAAAAAAAAAAAAACGTAATTTACGTTTCAGTCTCCTTCTCATCGGCGGAGCCACCGATCTTGAGACGTCTGACTTTGCTAGGGTGTCAAAGATTTTTTATCGACTTGCTCTGAAGGTTAGTAGCTTACTGTACTGGAAGCTTCATAGGTTACTCACCTTTAAGCTGACCATATTCAACAGTGGTAAGGTAGTAAGAACAAATATTAACTGAACATTTTTTATTATTCAACTTCCAAAAAAAAATCTCTCTTTACCCAGCCATAGTCAGAAAACAACACATTTTATTTATTCAACGAGTAGACGGCGATGTTACATTTCAACACACAACCACATAAAAAGTGGGGGGGCGAGAAAAATGTATCGAAAAATAATTTCAAAAATGTCAATAGTTAGAAGAAAAATGCATCGAGTTGTTTCAAAAATATTATTTTTTTATATTATATTTTTTTTTTAAACAAATGTACCAAAAATGTTCGAAGAAATGTAAATAAATAAACTATAATGATAAAATGTAAAAAAAAAAAAAGTGTGTTAGTATATAGTGTAAATTAATACATCTTTTGTTTGGCTAATGTTTTAACAATAAGGATAATTTAGTAAATGAATGAATAGTGACTTTTTTTTTTTATTAATAAAAATCGTTTTTAATCTGGATTCAAGTTTCTGCTAGAAAGCAAAAACAATGTCAGGAAAAGCATACTAGAACACCTGAAATTTGACAGGCCAATGACGCAGGAGATCACTTCCCAATCTGGGGTACATGCTTGGGAATGCAGCTGCTCACTGTCCTGGTGTCCGGCCACAACCTGTTGACGACAGCCACAGCTGAGAATGTGGCCCTGCCTCTCAATTTAACACAAGGTTTGTTACTTATTGTTTTTGTCTTAAAAGGTTAGGATGTCTGCCTCGCAGTTCTACAGTTTGGTGTTCAAATCTTGGCTTGGCTAGCATATTAGCAACAATATGATTTTTATTTATTTATTTATTTATTTATTTCAATGTTGATGCCTAAATTCTGTAGTGACCCGATAAACTGTATCCTTTGGGATTGTGCAGCATTCAGCAGCTCAATGTGATGGATTTTCAACAAAGGGAATACAAGATGTGCAGTACTGAATCCCACCACTTTGTGGAACCAGAGTGAAAATTGCCACAATTCATACCTGACATTGAACACTCAGCGAAAATATTAGGTACACTAATTATGTCCTATGCTAAACCTGCATCACGATGATAATGCTTGGTTTTAGTTGATACTGTTAGGGAAGTATTAATTGAGCACTGTATATTTTTCAACTTCCACAAAACATGCAATTCTGCAACACTGACTGCATGTAAAAAAAACAAAAAAAAAAAAACCACACACAGAGCTAATGAAGTGTCTTAAATGTTTCAGCGGCCTTCTCCAGTCGCATGTTTCAGGGCTTCCCTGAGGAGTTGATGCAAGCTTTGCAAAGAGAACCTCTCACTGGTCATTTTCACCACTATGGACTCAGCCTGAAAGTAGAATAAATCCCTCTACCTGTTCTCAAGACAAAACACTACTTATCTTATTTTGTTTTACTGAACAAGTGTGATTAAAGCAGTATTGCATGTTGTCGCCAGGCCTTCAATCAAAACAAAGAGCTGATGAACTTCTTTTCGGTGATCTCTACAAATGTTGGTGAAAATGGGGTCCAATTCATCTCAACCATCGAAGGTTTGTGAAAAATGAATCATCCTACCCAGATGCATGATGGAGACTGCGTCGACACAATGTGCCCAAAAATATGAGGTTCATGTGAAGGTGTCAGATACGGTACAGCTGCAGTACAAATTGTCAAACATTTTTAATTCAGATCCAGAAATTTTCTTTCGCCCTGTGGAAAAATTACTATCCTAATAACGCCAATTAAACTTAACTACACATGAATTCAAGAAAAAAAATGAAGAAATGAAACACGTACCTATTATTGAGGGATTAAAAATTTGGATTGTTACAATAAATAATACACGTACAGGGGTGCCTTGTCATATACGAGTAACCTGACTTAAGAATGAAACAAACAGAATTAGATATTGTGTATTTGGAATAGCCGCATCGTTAGAAAAGTCTGCATATCTTACTGTTAACAAAGCAAAATGTCATGGACATTGATATTTGAAGACATAGAGTTGAGCAATATACGTGACAGGCAATATAACAATACCCACAGGCATATATCGTCACCCTCTTAAAAATTTTGGAGGGGCGGTTGGAACGGATTAATTTTGTTTCCATTTATTACAGTGGGGAAAGAAGATTTGAGGTGAGAGCGTTTTAAGTTGCGACCATGATAATGTAAAAAATGAACTTGTATCTCAAGACACCGAAGTGAATTAAATGTGAATTATTTGGTTGACCACCAAGCTATGGCTCGGGGACCCCAATTTGAGAACCATGACGAGAAACCCGCATATTTTTAACCATTCTCCCGTCCCGTAGGTGGAATAAACAAGTGCCGTCATTTTTTTGTCCATGTTGTGAATGTAAAGTTCTCTAAACAATGTGTTCATGTATTGTAATCGCAGGCAAGAGATATCCCTTCTATGGGGTGCAGTGGCATCCAGAGGTGAACCGTTTTCAGTGGGACAGCAAACTGAGCTTTCCCCACTCTCCTCACGCCATCCAGCTGTCGTCACTCCTGGCCCATTTTTTTGTTAATGAAGGTCAGCCTCCAATCAGGTTAAACATCTGACAATTAGGGAGAGGCCATTGCATTTATTTGGCAGGCAGGTAACACAAAAAAAGAAAAGAAAAAAAAAGAAAGAAACTTAGACGCGACTTTATCAGAGGTGGAATGACCACAGACAAAACCTTTTTGAATTTTAATTGAATGTAGATTCCGAAAAAAGAAAAAAAATTGATAACACTAAGTGTCATAGTAACACTCTGTTACGAATAAGTGATGCTTCGATCGTGCTGTGGCTAACGCTGGATTTTCTTACAGCGCATGTCTTGTGCGTGTCACCGAGGGGCATGACTTTGATCAGAATTAAATCTTGCTATCAGTATCAACAAACCTTACTTTTAAGTGAATATTTAAATGTAATTTATTTATTCAAGTACAGTTTTCTTCTTTAATACATGTGTAATAGATTTGAATCGAATCATCATTTAAATACAGTTTTCTAGTTTCCTGTATTTAAATGCAGTGTTGACATTCAAACTGTGCATAATGTTATCGTGACTTAGAAAACTATTAAATATTCTTTTTAGGACTAAAACCTCTGCCTTGTTTTTGGTAAACACTTAGGCCGAGTAGGCTACTGTATTTTGATATTGATCATTACGGCTGTAAATAAAGAGCAAAGTATTTTTGAAAGGATACATGGTGAAAAAAGTTTGAGAACCACCATTCTACAGTATATCATGTGCAAGTTCTTAGTTTGTTCAAAGGGAGTAAATAGGGGATGTGTCCAAATCACATGCATCTCATTTCTGCTTTTTTTTGTTTTGCAGGGAGGAAAAGTTTACATGAGTTTGATGACCCTAAAGAGGAGGCCTTGAAGCTGATTTACAGCTACACACCCGTCTTTGCGGGAAACTTCAGCGGTTATGAACAGATCTATTTCTTCTGAAAAGCTGTCATTAAAAAGGTTGCATTTTGTAAGGCAGGCAAGTCACGTGTGGACCCTCAAATTATTATTATTATTTTTTAATCATTAAATGTGATGTCATTTTCTTGCAATGACTTTGTAATTAAAAAAAATTATCATTTCATATTCTAGTTATTCCTCAAAAAAACATACTTTTGATATTATCAACGGTGACTGTCAGGAATATGTGTTTTGTCAAACACAGACTGTGTCTCCTCGTACACTACCTCTTTTACTTGAAAATAACACTTAATTTAAATATAATTTCCATATTTTGACCCCCCCCCAACACACACACACACACGCACGCACACAAATGTGTTTTGGCAGGTAATTCGTGACTATTGTGTGGAAGGTTATGTTGTCGTCAAAAAAAATAGCCATGTAAACAGTCAAATAAAAGAGCTAGCTTGCTAACATTACTCTCTATACTTAAGAGGCAACCAGTAGGTTATGATTAAATATTATTTAATTTTTCGGGAGGGAGGGTGTCTCACAGAGGACCTCATAAAGACATACTATATATTCAACAGCAAAGCAAATTTCTGACTTTTTTTTTTGTTGTAATTTCGGGGTGAATTAAATTAATATTTAATTTTGGTTCCTTGTTTTTATTGTGTAGGACTCAGAATAATGTCAAAAGGGGACTTTTTACAGCAAGTTAATTTCAGAATTAGTAAATTTAGTTCCTTATTTGGTTTTCTTCATGATTTTTCAATGTTTTTATTTATTTGTGGGGGGAGCGGGGGTCGACACTTGGTCCTTAACAGCTTGAAACGCGCGATGGCTTTGGAAGAGTGATCCATGAGTTCAGTTGGAGTATTCATCTTGAGAAAGAAGAAGTCCGAGGATGACCTCGGATGTCGGGAAACACGATTCCAATCCAAACGTCGTATATCCGTCCCCACGTACGTCATTCTCCCCCTCGCGGGGGGCGGAAGGAGGGAGGGAGCCCGCTGGAGCTGTGGAAAAAAAAATCGAGGCTGTGTTCCACTTTGTCTCTCCCACAGATGTTGCCGGACTCCCCGTCCTCGTGATACCTCTTCGTGAAGAATAACCGAACCCGGACGGCAAACTCGAACACCGCCCCCCCCCCTCGCCCCCCATCACCTCCTTTGCGGGGTGGTCACTCGTTGACGAAACGGAGGACGATGCAGCTTGGATCGCGGGCTCTTGTTTTCATCTGTATTGCTCTTGACTTTGTTGTGTGACCTCATCTTGACTGCCAGGGACTTTGTTGAAGTCTACCATCCGCTTGTTTCAAACGGTGGGATCTTCCAAGAGAGAGACCCCCCACCACCGATGCATTGATGCACCCCTCTCAGTGGTGCAACGGTAAGCATAAATGATCTAATAAAGTGCATCTAAAAAAAAAAAACAAATCTGAAACACATGCAGACGATGTGTTCATTGCATGCAATGGTGTTGTTAGTCCTAGACGTTGCAATAAAATGCTGATAATAAGATGATGCAGAACAACCAACCAAGCAATAAAATGCTGATAATAAGATGATGCAGAACAAGCATATGAATCGGTTTGCTTCATTTTGGGCGCAGCAGGCTCGTTGCTGTTCGGGCAAGAACAATTCCTCCCTTTGTGCTGCTCAATTCCCCTCCTGTTTTGGAGGCAAAACAGCAGAGAGAGGCAAAACAATGACATTGTCCACTGGGGGATGTTTTGTTATCCAGCGTGATCAGTGGTGGTTTTATATATTTTTAAAATGATGGGACAAATTATATACCAGGAAAAGCTGCCTCACGTTTCTTCTAGTTCTGTGTATGAAGTCGCTCACACATTCCAAAAATAGGCATGGTTAGTAGGTTAGAAGGTTTATTAAAGACTCTAAATTGTCCGTAGGTACAAATGTGAGTCGAAATGGCGATTTGTCTAATTTTGCCTTGTGATTGGCTGGCGACCAGTCAAGGGTGGACCATGCCTGTCACCACAAACTAAATGACTACTCATGTATTGAAAACAGAATAAGTATAAACAGCACTTTGAGGATTAGAATTTAGTCATGAAAAATAATTAAAATGGAATTTCAACTTTATTCCGACACATTCATTTCACAGTGGTCCTGTATTAAAAATAAAATATGTATCAATCATATAGACACTCACTTTGGAAACATCCACCGCATGACCAAAAAAAATTGAGACAAATTCATTCCTTTACATACAATTTGCTTTCAAATCATGGCTCTGGATTAAATTTAAAATGCATATAGATTGAAAGGAAAGACAAGTGGATCTGGTGGTCTATTGCCACACTTGTCACTGATGGCCCACTCTCTTGGAGAGCACCATGTTTGTGACAACACAATGTCATGTCGCCATTGCTTTCTTGTAGCAGCAAAAGCAGGCTTCGACAATCCTCCTCCTCCTCCTCCTCCTTCTCATGGGAACTGTTGAATATTTGATGCCGCCTTTGGTGCACGCAGCAGCAGTTTTGTGTGTAAATAGGACAAAACCCCGCCAGGAGCTGTTTGAGGAGATACGGAATCACACAAGGGCTTTCCCACCGTCATGTCTAACAGCCAAACGTGACTAGTGGATCTTCCTTTTTGGATTGATTTGCTACTGTTATCGCTATAGCAACACCCCAAGTGTGACCATATATAGGTCAACGTTCCTGCGGGGCTTCAACAACCACAACAAAGAAGCTTAGTAGGTATTTCAGGTATCTGTACTTATCCTTGACTCTACCCATTCACGGTGAAGTAAGACTACATTCTGTTTTAAAACTGCAATATCGTACAACTGGATGGATGTCTACTTATGACAAAAAAAAAAGATTGTACCGGTATTAATGCTACCTTCCATCCATCTATTTCCTAATCCGCTTATTCTCACAAGGGTCGCGGAGCATGCTGTAGCCTATTCCAGCTGTCTTCGGGCAGTCGGCAAAGGACACCCTGAACCGGTGGCCAGCCAATCGCAGGGCACACAACCATTCATGCTCAGAATCACACCGAGGGACAATTTATTTGGAGTGTATCATTAACCTGTCATGCATGTTTGTGGAATGTGGGAGGAAACCGGGGTAGCCGGAGAAAACCCACGCAGGCACGGGGAGAACATGCAAACTCCACACGGGAAGGCCAGAGCCGGAATCGAACCCTGCACCTCTGCACTGTGAGGCCGACGTGCTAACCAGTCCACCTCCGTGCCGCCCAAATATGATACCTTTCCATTGAATTACTCTCAGTTAGTTCTCATAAATTCCCATAACTCCCAATATTGGGGTTTTTGTTGCTTATTTCATATTCCACAAAGGCATATAGAAAGAATATAGAATAACTAGTGGGGGTGCATAGAGCATATAACCGTAAAGAAAAAGCACAAAGTGTGAGTACTTGAGTAACCTTTGCAAAACGCATACTGTAGCTCCTCGTGCAGCACACAAAGGTGGATGAAGAACATGCGTGCATTCATGCGTGTATTTGAATGTGCAGTATGCTTGACCCAGATTTGCTGAGTGCATGTGCGGTAGCCTCGCAGGTGTCGTCATCTCGTACGCCGCCGCCATGATTATTCGTGTTCATTTATTTACATGTTTGCAAGCCGTTACCGGTGGCGATTGCATCCCCGTGTTGGATAATGAAGTTGTTTCTTCCTGCGGAAGTTGACCGGCAGGCCACTGATGGGCGCTGATTAATAGCTCGTTCAAATAGAATGGAGTACGATGGGCGTCCACTATTGATTCAATTTCGGCCGAGAGGTGGGAGTCAAATGTCACATGGAATGTTATTTTTGTTGTGTAAGGGGAGAGGGAAAAGAGACCATGATTGATTTGAAAAGTGAGCCCAAAGAAAACAATAACACGGATGGCGGAATGAAATTGGTAAAGGTCACAATTGTTTCATTGTTTCATCCTGACTTTGCCATTTAGTTTTACATCAATCGTCTCAAAAGGTCTCGCGCAGTCAATTATCTCTCGAAGAACCATCCATCCATCTATCCATCCGTCCATCCGGTCTTGTATCTGACATTTATTGCTGTCTTCCTCTTATGTTTTTATCCCAGAGCATGTACCCAAAAGATAATTTCTTTTTTTTCTCTCAAAAAGTCTCCCCCAGGGTTCCCTTCGAGGTACCTTTTTATGCAGATGACACAAAAATCGACTGCCCCATTACCTTCGATTTTGGAGTATGAGTGGTTGTTTTTCAACGTGCCATACCAGTCAACAGTTTGAAAAACGCCCTTTAATTCAATGTTTTTTCATTATTTAAAAAAATGCTTGTCTTGATTAATACCTAATACTTCAGCTTGATGATGCGGGCGATGCTTTACGAACTGGAATGACTTTCAGTTCACCGCTGTGCATTATCAAAAGTTACTAGGCTGAATTTCTTTACCTCTTAGTGCGGTTAAGACCATTTGAATTTTACAGTTTTTTTTTTACAGACTTTTGACTGGCACTGTGTAAGAAAAACATTCACACCCACTTTCATACCTCTGGACAATTTAGAGTATTCAAATCAGCCACAGGTGTCAAACTCAAGGCCAGGGGGCCAAATCTGGCCCGCCACATCATTTTATGTGGCCCGTAAAAGCAAATCAAACATGTCCACTTCCATGATACTTGCTAAAATCTCTACCAAAATTAAAGATTCTCATATTTAATAAATTAGAGACATATTGTAAGCATTTTCTTGTGATCAATCTCCTCATTACAGTAACTTAAACAATAGTTGAACAACCTGTTATTATTGACTTTTTTTATATGGTTTCAGTCATAATGGCCCTCCAAGGGAAACGGTAACTAAAATGTGGCCCGCGACAAAAATGAGTTTGACACCCCTGAATTAACATGCATGAAGTCAGAGCCAATCTGCAACGCTTCGCTTTAAAAAAAATCCATTCATACACGAATGTACTGATTGATTCATCCAATCAGTCGCCAATGCATGCACCTCAGTTATATGGCCCAAACCCCGGTGTCAAATATTGACATTTTGAGTTTTTCCAAGCAGCAGGTGTGCTTCAATACCTCTATCAGGAAAATCAGGGATTATTGTTGGCGCGTTCAACACGCATAGATGTAGCAAATATCATTTTTGTTACACAA